GATGCCTCAGGTCTAAAAACTATTTGCAAACTACAACCAGAAGCTTTGTAATGTTTGACATGTGGTAAGCATCCATATGTTTAAGCTTCTTAGATAGTCAACGTTCAGTGAACTTGTTCAACTGACAAGCACATGTAGATTCATCACGTGTCCAACACGCATAGCATGATACCATAGTAATACACCGGCCCTTCTGGATAGTCAATGTCTAGTTGACTTTCCAAACTGCTAGATCATTATTTAAGAACTAAGTGGTTATAGAATACAAGTCTCCCTGCCTTAACCTCGTTGAGAACATTGCTTTCATACCTTAAATCCCACATCCTTCACTTTATGAAATTCATGATCAAGCAATTGTTTTTTGTTTCATTCCTTCATTCTTCTCCGGATACACCAGTGATAAAATCTTTTCTCAAGATATCTTCCACGCTACTAGGGTCGTTGCTCCTAATGTTGTCCCTTGGTGAGAAACTAGTTGGGCCATCTCATTCATTGTGCAAAGTTCTAATAAAATAAATAAATTTCCCGCAACACATTTTTGTTACCAGCCTAAATTTTTATGGTTTTGCGCAAAGAAAGATTCGTTGTGCAAAGCTTCACATTCGTCACTCAAAGTTGTTAAAAAACAATTTTGGCTTTCTACTTTCGTCACCCTTACAAATATATAGCGTTTCGCACAAAAAAATTTCCGTCGCTAAAAGCCTTGCACAACCAAATACTCCTAATCCTAAATCTTTAAAATTTTGGGGAATATACTTTGTGCTACGAACATCCTTGCTTTGTCATGCAAGGCGCCTTTGTGTGACGATGGTAATATTTCGTCGCGGAAAGAGCCCTTGCACTACAAAATGTGGATATTCGTCACACAAACTTGTTCATTAATTCTGATATGTTCTTTCTTTTAACTACTAAGAAAGACTTCTCCATGTCAGAATCAAGTAATTTTTCTCATATTTGATCTTGAAGGAGAGGTCAAAATCTTGAAGGCTCAGATTTTGAAACGGCTTTGTAAAATGTCGATCACATTATTTCACTTGCGAAGAACTTTTAACATATAGTGCCATAACATTTGCAAACTACAAATGTTGCATGAACTTTCTGTGAACAATGCAATGTGAATTCAACAATTCCATATCCTCGTTAGGATCATTTGTAATAGTTAACCATTAATTAATTGATTACATAATTTTTGTAAATAATACAAAAGAGATTAAAAGAACTGTAGGGATATTATGTGATTAGTTGATATTCAAAATATACAATTCAAGTAGGTAAGCTTATTGAATCCATCGTTTGGCTCATAATAAATTAAAAGTTGCTCTTGCTACTCAACCCAAAGCCTTGAGTATTGTCCAAGAACATACTGTAGGAGTAACTCAATACCTATCCTTCTTTTTTTGTGGGATAATAAAAATGGAAGATTGAATTATATCATCCATGTCTCGTCCAATATGCACTCGTACTATCTTGAAGATCGTCTATGCAAAAACGTTGGTAAATCATGAAAATAAAAAGAAACAACTTTATATTATTGGTTTGCTTTTTTTTTTTAATTAATTACTTTTTTCATTTTCATAATATTTGAGCCACGAAATACCAAAGTTAAAAAAAATTAATAATAATTTTCTTTTACAATTTAAAATATAAAACTAAATATAAAAGAAAATACATTTACGTTACGTGACAAAATTTTGGGCTTTCATCGCGCACGGTTAAAAGAATAATTTCCTTTTACAGTTTAAAATATAAAATTAAATAAAAAAAGAAAACAATTTACTTTCCGTCACAAAACGTTGGGGTTTTCATTGCATAAAGTTAAAAAAAAAAATTATTAAGAAAATAATTTTCTTTTACACTTTAATATATAATAGAAAAATAAATTTCCAATTTAAAATAAAAAAGTTAAATAAGAAAGGAAATAAGTTTACTTTGCAAAACGAAATATTGTATTTCTATCTTGCAAAATTTTAAAAAATACAAAAATAAATTTTTTTAGAATTAAAAATATAAATTAAATGAAATAGATTTACGTTGGGTGATAAATATTAGGATTTCGTTGCGCAGTTTCAAAATAAAAATAATTTGAATTATAAGGTTTAAAATATTTAAATTTCGTCAAGCACAGTTTAAAGAATCTTTTTTTTTTTACAATTTAAAATAAAAATGAAATAAAAAAAATTTACTCTGTGCGAAAAAAATAATAAGATTTCGCTGCGTAAAATTTTTTGAAATGAAAATAACACATAAAATGATTTGAATTATAAGGTTTAAATATAAAAATATAATAAAAAAAAGAAAACAAATTTACATTGAGTGACGAAATATTTGATTTTCGTTGCGCAAAGTTAAAAAAAAATCTTTTACAGTTAATATTAAATTAATAAAAATATATTGATGTGCATTTTATTTAATTTTTATGCACGTTAGACAATTATTAAAATTTCATCGCGGAAAGTCACTATACGCGATGATTGTGTTTTGTTGCGCAAGGAATTTTTTTACTAGTGTTGTAATCCCTCATGTTGCACGTATGTATGTAAAAATATCATTTCACGCCTATGTGCACGTAGCCATCGATCCATGGTGCATATACATAGCGAACGAGTAAACTAGAGACAAACATCTGTCGAACATTTATGTACAAATAAATGAATGTGATGATCCTGCATAAAATTGAGACATGATGTGCGTATGACTACTTTCCAATCAGCTGAGCTTTTAAGCACCTTCTCACACTTTTCATCTCTATAAAGGACCTCCTCTCCTCAAGCCTCCCTCCCCCCTTCTAACACAACCGGGAACTTAGTACCGTCCACACACCTTCTTCACCACTAAGCTCATCATCTCCTTATCCTCCGAAGAAAGTTGAGGTTCCACCATAAAATCAATTAGCAATATGTGGAGTAGCCCAACCTCTTATAAGCCCATGCAAGATCCTTCCTCCCATCAATGTTGGACTCATTCTCAAAATGCCTTCTCAAGTGTGGTGAATTTTCAAGCCTAACACATAGACAACATAACGGGATAACGTGGAGCGCATGTGGTCATTTTGATTCACACGTGGGATAACCTACTTTGATATCATGAAGAAAATTGAGGTTCCACCATAAATTGGCAATATGAGGAGTAGCCCAACCTCTTATAAGCGCATGCAAAGTCCATCCTCCCATCAATGTGGGACTCATTCTCAACATCCTCCCCATCAATGTGGGTTTCAATTTCATCGGCTTTCTAGCACATTGTACAATTTTCAGTTCCCTATTTCCCAATTTAATTGGTTTGCATAAAGCAATTAGATTGCACATGACAAAGTTTTGAACTTTTGAGTTTGTTTGAATGTTGAATACTGGTGTTAATATCAATTTATTAACCAATCTACATGTGAGGCAAAAACCGAAAGCAAAACTGTTTGAAACTAAATCAAACCAAAACCTTATGATTTTGTTCCATTTTGATTCAAACTTCAAAACCACGCCAAAATAAACCAAAATAAATTTCGATTTCGATTTCGACTTCAACCCAAAATCGCAATGAATCAAACCGTGACCATCCTATTTATAACCCTTTATATATGTTGTGTAATGAAAGACTTCAACGATATAGGTCCAAAGTTCGACTAGACAGACCTTCATGACAAAAGGAAAAGCATACAGGACTTTGGGATGACCACCATGATCCTTTTCTTGAAATTATGATGGAGTTGGAATCTTTGCCAAACAACAATAAAAAGGAATCGTGTACAGATGATCTCAAAATTCCTTTTCTTCCTTACCAAGCGAAATCAGTCACGGGTTGAACAATGGAAATAATTGTATCTTACACTTGCTTTATATTCCAAGGGCCATACAATTATATGAACTTTGAAAAGAAAAAAAAAGTAAAATTGTGGTAGGTCGTATCTCTTTAATTCTCAAATGCTCCAATAGAAAAACGACATCTTAGATGACCTTGGCATGTTTCCGCGTTCATAAACCCCTCTTTTCTCCATACGCACTTGGACAAATACTCCCCTTATTTCTGGGAATGTGAACTTCATCATCATGGGAAGAAATTTTTTTTCTCATTTCCTCTAACATGACATCCATTTATTATATAATAAAAAAATATCAATTTAAAAAAAAATAGCAATTTGCAAATCGTTTAGCCATTGTTATATGTTGAACAAACTTAGTTACCGTAACAAGTACAAACTTCATGATAAATCATCAATTTCTTTTATTCACATGAATAATTGAATAGTTTCAAAATTGAATGAATTTTTTTTAGAGATGATCTTTTTTATGATAAAGAGAATAAAGGATTTTATTTATAATGTTGGTACTTTGAAATGATATCTTGTGAATATGAATACGTAAGTAGGGAAGGGAGACCGGAAATGAGATAAATAAATTGTCCATTGGCATTTATACATATAATTGACCAAGCCAACTTCTTGCCCACTTTTACTGTTGATCAGTATGCTTGTGATAAAAAAGAAAAGTATGCATGTGAATTATATTTATAATGCCTGAAGTTACTTTCAGTAATACTGAAATTGAAACCGGTGCACGTACATGTGTACAAAGAGGGGGAAATTGTTCACCAAACTTTAAATGCATGTTTCCTTCGCTCTTTAGCAGCATATACATCTTTTATCGCTAAATGTGAAAGCTATTGTCATTTTGTATTACGGTCTAATAGTATTCTTCTTTATGTGTAAGTTAGAGATCTTTTGTTCGATTCCCACCCAAGGCAAAGTTGAACTATATTATTATGGCAAGCCAATTGTAAGGCTTAGCTGAGTCTCTCACTCCCTTAATGTAGATACTATCATTTGTTAACCAAAAAAATAATAATAATAAAAGTTGTTCGATTATCCCAATATGGTAATTAAAATGTTCAATTAAAACTCAACGGAAATTTAAACAAGTGGTTTGCAAGTCTGCATGTGAATCGGCGATCATAAGACACCGCCAAATTAGACATATACAAAATTAACAAATTAAGGCAGATTGGTAACGAAGTTAAAGGACATTTCATTCCCATAATAATGAGGAAAACATCATGAATTGAATCTTATCACCCCTTAATCAGGCAACCGCCATAACAAATGAGATGATAAATTCCCACTTACAAACTCCATCATTCCACAACAATTTCACACTGAATATTTTATAACAAGTACGAAGGCCAAATCATAAAGATACAAGAAATTAAGGATCATATATTGTAGCTTTTAGGCACATTGGAAACCTTTGGGAACCTTATTTCCACAAACATTAAGAAGCAAGCTGAGAGAAAGTGGAATGTTGAGGTTGATACCCAAAATGTTGGCTCTGATGGCAGTGCAAAGGCAAACAGCAGCCTCAAGGTCAACGAGCCCTTGGATGAGAGAGCAGCAAGGTTGTACGGGAGGTTTGCCAACGGTGATGTTAAGTAACCCATTGAGGACATTAGCACAAACCCCTAATTTGAGAGTATCTCTAGGGCAGCGGGTGCCAGTTGAAGGGCTAGGATTTGGCGTCGGATTTGGCGTCGGATTTGGCGTCGGATTTGGCGTCGGCCTTGGTCTCGGATTAGGGTTGGGGCATGTGCCACAAGAACTTACCAGGGCAAAGAAGAAGAGATTGAGTGCAAGGAAGAGAACAAGCGAGGAAGTTGTTTTGGATGCCATCTCTCAAACCCTAGAAGAAGTGGGTTTGTAGTTATTTTGTGTGAGGAATTAAGGTTTGTAGCACTAATAGATGTGAGGGTTTGGGTGAGGAATTAAGGTGTAGAGGGAGTTGGATTTTATAGGGTTCAGGAACGGTGAGGTTTCAAGTTGAAGTTAATAGAAAATTAGAAATGATCAATAATTAATCTGAGCTAGCTGATCCATGTGTGCCCTTGGGAATTTAGCTGGCAGAGTAAACAAATTAAAGGCAACCTTTTGTATTTTTGTGTGGTGGGGGCTGCCAAATTACCAGGTTAGTTGTCTGGGCATAAATCTGTGGACGTATATCTCATCATGTACTGTTTTTGGTACCCCAAGTTCTAGTGAATTATAGGGCATCGACATTTTAGGGTCTGGACCTTTGATCAAGTGACAATGGTGGGGGATGAAAAAGCACACATGTTTTGGCGGCACTAGAAAGTTCATCGACCTGCGGGGCTCGTTTGACTCAGTATGTAAGATGGAAGACGAAATTTATAAAAAAAATTAAAATAAAATAAAATTAAAGCATATGTTCACAGCTTAATTATGAACGACAAATCATACTAGTATCAAAACTATAATTTGATAAACACCAAACAGACCTGCAGAAATAGTCGAAAAAAGGCGCTATGCGCAAACCTCACAAGAGTGCATATGTTGGTGTCAAAACTCGGACGGAGCCTAACTCGGTTCGACACATATTTACCTTGAATGTTGCTTTCGGTCTCAGTGTAATGAGATGGCTCTAGAAAAAGATAAACTAGGCGAGCCATTGTTGGAGGCTACAAACAAACAGTAGTATCCGTAGAGTTATGTTGTGTGTTGCGCGCTGATGAGTCGATTTCATATTATATATTTTACTCTCTTCTTAGTATGTTTTCGTGATTATTTGGTGAGATCTTGATACTTTGATTTATATTTTAAGTGTGGTGTTATTCACACACCCATTTTTACTCCTCTCACAACCCTCTCAATTTTTGTGCGTCGGATCGAATGAATTGAATAAAATCAATGGACAAAAATTAACAAAAGTGTGCGAGAAGTAAAAAAGAGTGTGAATAGCACACCCTATTTTAAATGTAGGACATGCAAAACCATTTTGTGCATAAAGTGATGAAATGATGGAATTTTTTAGTAAGTCCATTTGAAGTGAGTTTGTGAGTCTGTCAAAAAGGTTGTGTCAAAGTTTCAGTATTTAATTCCAAGGCATTTGGTCGCCGCAAATTAATTAAGGTCCAACGCGCCGTGTTGATAGATTGACATTCCAGACTTAATTGTGACATTTGAGCATGCAGATGACGTTTTCTGGAGTTGTGCCCTTCTACCAAGCTGTAAAGGACGTCCTGAGGTTTAAATTAGACCTAAGCGGCCTGTTTTGGAGTTGGCTTGGCTCAGAAACATGGAGATGATCTGACTGGGCAGATTGCCTAATTAGATTAGTACTGTGCTTTTAAGTTATCCTTTCATTATTTTGTTTTCCACATTTTTTTCGAAACCTATTTTGGGTAGGATTCAGATTTATTAGTCTACTTATATGTCGAGTTAGAAGCCCTAAAGGGCCAGAACGTTTTTGCTACTAATTTTATACCACAAGGGTGTTTTCTATCTTTTCTTCTTAATATTATTTTGCTTTTTAATTATGAATATGAGTAACTAATTTCCTTTTGATAGGGCAAGGCCAACATGAATATGCCGTCTATATTGAAGTGCTTGTGAAGTTATGCAAACTTGTTTTGAATTATTAATCACCAAGTTTAAACTATCAATATATCTTAATGATTGATCACCATTAGGATGTTTAGACAAATAATTTGATGCAATTTGTTTTGGAACATCACCATGAAATTGAGGAGGGCTTTTGTGATTGATAATTGTAAGTTCACTTAAGGCGAATATCACGCTCTTAAGGATTACATGGTTTTTCAAAAGGTTTTCGTAAAGCTTAATGAGTCTTGCATGTTTATATTTGATCTGAATATCACAGACGAATTGCATGGTAGATATATGTTCTTACTTGAACATCATTTGATTTCCCAAAAACCTTTTTTTTTTTTTTTCTCTTTTCTGCCGATTTCAAATATTCAAAAATAAATAAATGAAACAAGAAAAAATCACATAACCCATTACAGATTAAACCAAAAAGGATAAAGGGAAATGAAAAATAAGAAAAACCCAGCCTAATTTAGAGACCTAATTTTGATTAAGGTCTACAGGGATCACATAAATATAAAATATGCAACCTCAGTTCAATTTATAAGCTTTATACACACACACATAAACAGAAAAATATTTAAAGATAATTTATCTACGACAACACCCTCATAGATGCCATTCCCCATCAATTGGGCCTCCTCGTCCCGCCTCTCCGCCTTCGACATCCGGAACTAATTTTCAGACTTAAGAAAATAATAATAATTTTCCAATTTTATAAAAAAAAAAAAAAATGGAACCAAACCGAAATCGAATAGGAAAAAACTGAATCTAACTAAAACCGAAAGAAATCGAACCGAATAGTAAATTCAGTCCGACTTTTGGCTTCAGCAAAAAACCGACCGAATAGAACCAAACTCACCCCTACTGACAGCCATTGAAGAAACCTCGAATCCAATTCATGATCAAGTGTTCATCACCTTTAAATCAAATTCTATTTTGGAGATCAAATAAGAGGAATATTCTTGTAAAGGACAAACCACAGGGATTATAACCCCAATTTTTTCTTGAATATAAACATTTTATTTTGTACACGTGTTCTTGTTTCATTCATCGCAGGAATTTTTGTGTTTATAAATTTGACAAGCCTGGTGGGACCACATCTACCTCCAAGGGCAAGTCACCACTTCCACAACAGATCGAACAAGACTTCTTTCGATCGCTGAGGATCGCTTTGTGCCTGACTTCACTCACTATCTTTTAGCGTTTTCAGATAGAGAAATGCAATCAAAGAGCTCGGTACCAAATAAAGCATAGCCAAGTATTCGTACACTCAAAGAAGCATTTAAGTGATGGCTTTCATCACGAGGAACGATTTTGCTGGCATTGTCTTACAAAGCAAGTCAAAGGCATGCCTCTCAACCCGACGTATTGCCTGGCGCATCTAACAAGTCACATGGAGTTCATCAAAGGCGCAAGCTGGTAATCTCTCTTGCTTCACTAGGCGCAAAGAAACTCGTCTCTCAAAGCAGTGAAAGGTGCTCGCCAAGATCGAAGGATTCGGCGGAGCATCCATTCTTGCTTGTCTTCAATGTCAACTCAAAGGAGGTCCGATGCTTATTAATGGCAAGTGATCAAAAGAAGAAGGCTGAACACTGCACTCGGATTGTTACAACCCACACCTTAAAATATATTTTGTTCTCGAATCATATGAAATGACCAAAATGCCCCTGATTTGGTGTCTTGAGTAATTATCGAGCCTAGATTTGAGTTTCAATTTCTTGTTCTTTCTTAGTCTGCTTAATTAGTTTTTGTACTCACTAGTGTGTGAGCAAAACAGAATTGAAAATGGGGTAATGAGAATTAAACGAACCAAATTCAAACACCAAACATCCAAACACTCGTGTTCTTCATTAAGCTCCTGGAGAATCAAACAAGCACAACAAATACACATCGAGGTTCATCCACACTAAAGTCGAAGACCACCCACCATGTGAAACCACTCATGGTCCCGTTTAGTTCAAGACCAAAACCTAACGGACCTTGAAGAAACCTCGAGTCCGATTCAAGATCAAGTGTTCATCACCTTTGAATCAAATTATGTTTTAGAGATCGAATAAGAGGAATAGCATTCTTGTAAATAATAAACCACAGAGATTGTAACCTTAATTTTCTGATTAATACAAATCTTTATTTCATTCATTACAGGAAATTTTGTGTTTACATATATTTGGATGCAACAACTTTAGGTTAGCAGAAAATTAAGAAAAATCAAATTAATAATTGCCAAACTTTAACCCCTCTTGGGATTCTTTTATTTAATAGAAGGACAACAGATTTAAAGCCGAATTTAGTTTTTTTTTTTCCCCCTTCCATTTTGTACTTGCAAGTTGCCAACTTCCCTTGTTTTGTGGCATCAAATCGTACCGTATCAGGATATATATGATATTGTGTTAATGTGTCAGAGCCACATTTTATCCCATTCGTGAATGTGGTTTGGTATAGTGGTTAATTTGGTCATATGACTGATGGGGTATTATGGAGCCATCAGCCCTTGGTTTAACTTTCCGGGCGTTTCTAGCAAGATGGCCTAAATAGCTAGGTGGGTCCTTTCTCACGAATGCTTGGCTAGGGTTGGGTTTCGGTTCAAAACGGTTCAATTTTTTGTCAAAATTGAAATTGAACTGAAATTTCGATTTTGTTCGGTTCAGTTCATTTTTTTTCGGTTTGGTTTTTTTTGTTTCTGTTTTTCCCGGTTCGGCTTCGGTTTTTTCGGTTATTTTATTTTATTTTTAAATGATGTAAATGGAAGGAACCTACCTATCAACCTCCTAGTTCTCATATATCACAGAAACATAATGTACATCGCCAGGATTCAAAATTCTAAAACTATAAAATTTACAAAATCATGAAATAATTCAACAAATTAATTGATCGATGCAGATCGAAACAAAAAAATAAAAGCAAATGGGTTCGTCTAAATGCCATAATCGGACTCCAATATCGCATGCCCAGTGCCCACATTCAAATTCATAGTCAAGTCCACAATAGATCTAGAAATTTCCAAAACATATTCAAAGAAAAATACAAACTTTTTCACCTTAAATTACATAAATTTCAAATGGGTAACCATAAAATTAAAAACCCATGAACTGACAAATAAATAAAACCCACAACCTTTGCTGCAGCGATATCGCCATGATCGTCGCACGCTCTTACAATTCCTCTTTTCGTCGGGTCTCGAAAGGAGCGAGGCAAAATCATGGTTTGGAAGAAGGAATCCGCAAGGACAGGGGAAGACTGGAGAGAGAGTGATTTGGAGGAAGAGAGGAAGGAGAGAGAAAGAGAGAGACTGAGGAAGCAAAGGCAGAGAGGAAGC